GTAGCTAATTTCAATAGCAATCCCTAATTGTGATAACTCATTGTAATGCTTGATAAGAATGCTTCCCAGTGGTATTATTTATAACTCAAATTGCAATATCCTGTTTTTGATATCATTTTCCATTCAAATAGAGGGATTCATGAGGTAACATTTGGACGTGGAGTTTATTTCTAAGGCAGATCAATGACGACTGGGAGAACATAATGAGGTCATCCCAAGACATACAATTTTCTGAAAAATTTGCCAAAATCCATTCTCCGTACAAAATGTGAGTTTCGTTCACATCTTCAATGAATCATGTGTCAGCGTTATTTTTTCATTATTTTCAAATTCATGAGTCTTCCGAGCGCCACCAATCATGTATAAAATAAACTAACACGCAAAAATTTTTATCATAACTTCTGATTGGATCATCTAATTTTCAATTCATTTCAAGATTCTAATAGCTCATTTCATTGAGTACAAGTTCAGTATTTTTTCGTTATTCGACCTTTCCGATGACTTACAGGTTGATATCTGAATATGTAATAATAATCTAAAAGTTTGGGATAATCTCCTTTGACAGGGAATTTTTTTATGTTTTACTGAGGGCGATAAGATGAAGGATAATGAGTTTTCTCGAAATGGTTTTGGATTCAAGAGAATTCATACTGGATGTTTCAATATATGGATTTTTTGACAACATATTGCATTCTGATATGTTCAAACACCATTAACTCCACCTGGACAGAATTTAAATTGGCATATCTTCAACGCCATTACTGTACAATATGTGGTAGGTTTTCCAATATAGTGAATGTTAAAATAAATGGAAATACTAGGAAAAAAATCCAAATATATGAAAATTCGACATGGGACGAATCGTCGCTCCACAGTTATTTTGAGAGAGTTTGATTAGTATGAATGCTCTTCAGTATCAACGCATGCATTGTAATAAGGTAGTTGTTCCAGTTGCCCAAAACTTTTGGTGATAATTTTTAATTTTATACTGTTTGATGATAATGAACAATCACATCGGGCGAGAATTGTTACTGAAGTTTCACAAGATAATAATTCCTAATATTTCTCCCTATCCTTCCTAGGTATGCAGGATGTTTCTCCAACATTCGAGTTATTCCCTTTCGTGCGCTCCAAGAAATAACAAAAACCTCGTCTTCGACATAGAGAAGTTGAAATGATGTATTTTGACCAATCAGAGAATGCGATACTGAAAGAGTGGACAGCTATTCCCCAATATTTCATCAATAGGTTGATATAACTGGTATGCCAAGAAGAACAACATATTGACAATTGACAGTAAAAATTGAAGTCGTTAGTAGCTAATTGATGTTTGTATAATAATGTGGATATCTTATGCCCATTAAAAATATTGTGTCAATTGTTATCTGCATTTTTTTCCGTAGTGGTATTGTTCATTTTAACATTCTCCATGGTTGAAAATTAACAAGATTGTATGGTGTTAGCGTTGAAGATGAGCTAATCTGAAATTCTGATGAAGTTGAGTTTATGTTAGTTCTGCCTATGGTTCTACCAAATGCATACCAGAAAGCAATATATTGTAACAAAATCCATACATTGAAAACTTCCTGTATGAATCTTCTTGATTTCTGAATCCGAAACCATTTCAAATAAAAACATTATGCTCCATCCTATGGCCCCCAATGAAACATAAAAAAATCATCCCTACCAAAGGGGGTGATCTCAAACTTCTCAAAAATTATCATGTCGGAAAGGTGGAATAACAAAAAATACTTACGTTGTACTCAATGAAATGAATTATTAGAATCTTGAAAGAAATGTTTGCTTGTCTCATTTCAAATGTTGGGCTGTTTAGTTCTGATAAGATTACTCTCTCTAGAACTCTACCTAAATAAATGAGGATGAGAGAAAAATCGTCTAGCAAAAACTAGAAGAACATTTGAAACATCAATCTGGGCATTGAAATAATTATTGAATGTCTTTTCCTTGGTCTTTTCACTGTAATTTGAATCACAATCATGTATATCGGGATTGTTTGGTGATTTTATGAAAGGTTTTCAAAACACTAACTGATGGAGATGGTAATGTTAAAAGTTGTAATTGTTGAAATTGAATTCATGGAATATACAAACCTGGCTCTTTCGTCTGAAATGAAAATATAGTTAGGAGCATGTGTCAATATGATGATACTGGAGTAGGATGCTTAATTTTTATCACAGAAAGAAATACTTGGGGCAATTGAATACAGTATGTGGTAGAAAATATTGCTGAATATGTAGGGGAAACCTAAGGGTGAAAATATATTTTTATAATATAATGTTCATTGAATATTTACAATTCACTCAATACACAAAAACTGGTTTAGGGAAGATGAAAAAACATTTCAACAAAAAAAGTGGGACATTATTTTATCTAGTTCAGCCTGAAAAGCACCCAAGACATTGTCTTTTCATTGATAGGGGTAATGTACAACCAGATTATTGCTCAGAAACCCACTTGATGAATTAATACATAGCCTCTTGAGCTCAAAGGGATGTTTTGGATACATTATCTACTAATAATAATCTTCCCATATAGGAATTTGGAAAGTATGAAATGAAAACAGTTACAGATTACATATAAAACCTGGTTTTCCTTATCTGAAATGAAGTTTTCAGGGACTGGAGCAGTTGATAATACAATACAAAATGCTATAATTATGCTACATTATACATTTATAGAAAATATAATATATTTAGAGGTAATGTAAGATAAGGAGTCATTTCTATAATAAAGTAGAAATGGTTAGCCATATCACTTGAATCAAACCAAAGTTGCATCAGGATTCAAATCACCATTACAAATAGAATTATCTTTGACTGGAAGTTGTGAAGACCTGAACATCACTGTTGACTTAATCTTCGGATGGTACCAATTAGGTAGTACAAAATGAAAAATACATTCACTATTCACAACACTTTGTTGTTAAATAATTGACCTAGGAAATCAAAAACCAGAAAGCATTGCTCAACACATCTAATATGCTCATTGGGATGATGATTGAATGGAATCAAGACTGAATTGCATTGTTTACTGGCTGGACAGCCAGATTATTATTTGAAAAATAGATCTATGAAGAGTGAAATTTTGTGCAATTTTGGATTATTAAAGCACAAGTTTTATTGTCATCAGAAAAATCCTTTATAAAAATAACCATTTTGTCTGGAATAATATACAGGGGAAATGTATACTACATTCTATGTAGTAAACATGATTGGGAATAATATAATTTCAAATCAAATCCAAGTTGCCTCAATTGTTAAAAAATTGTAATAGTCTAGATATTAGTTCCAGATGAACTATAAGCACAAATTTTCAACTAATTGCAAGTTTTGCAGTAAGGAAAAAAGCTGTGAGTAGGTACTGCACAACACTTGAGGCAACTGGTAAATAAACAATGTTGGAATTTTTTCTGAATTCATGGAGAACCTAAATTAGAAGTACAAGTACCAGTAAGTGAAGGATAAATACATTTACATTTTATTAAATGAGCACTTATTTAGGTACTCTGAATCTACATGCAAGATAATCACCTATAATTCAGCAAAAAATAGGAAGTATTGCTAAAATCATATAATTGGCCCATTGGACATTAGGAAAACAAGTATGAATTGATACATGGACATATAATTTTCAGCCAGAAAGTTAATTGATGATTTGAATTTGGTGTTCAGATTATGGAATTTCAAAGAAGTAATTCCATTTCAGAACTAGCCTCTCACTCAATAGGCCAGAAAAATATTCTGGATCTATTATCTACTTGGCCACCTACTATTCAATGAGAATTTAGAAATTCTGAAACAAAAATCATAATTGTTTCCATGGAAAATACAAGTCTGGCCATTTTGCCTGGAACTGAATATAACTGGCAGAATATGTGAATTTCCATATGTGAAAATATCATTGCCTACCATGATGTAAAACTTTTGATGTCAAACCCAAGTTGCCTCAATTGTTGAATGATAAAATATTCCCTAGATATTTTGGGTTCTAGATGAACCATGACTTACTGCAGGTTTTGAAATAATCGAAACTCTTGAGGACATACCTACACAACACTTGAGGCAACAGAAAATGATCACTTGATTTTCATAGGGAAACTAAATTTGAAGTACTAATAGCAGTATGTAAAGGATATATTATTCATAATAATTTTGTTTGATGAGCACTTGACATACTTAGGAATTCAAAACCTAAATAGATTATCCATCAAAAATCAGGAAGTGTTGTTAAAATCATAAAATAGGCTCATTGGAATGATAACAAGCCTGACTTCATGAAATATGAATTGGTCTACATAATTATCATGAAACAAATTTTCAATGGTATCATTGCTCCAGAAGTCTATTGATGGAAATGTGTTGGCCTTGTGAATCATTAACAGATTACAGAGAATTCCAAATCGACAAATTCTATTAATCAGGAAACTTATAATTCATTTCTAATTTGTCATCTTCTGTTAGATAAATCATTGGAATCATTAACCAAAATGGCAATACAATCAATGAAAATTGCAAACTTGGCCATTATGGGACTGAAAACATTGGTATTTTAGAGAAAATACAGGGAAACAATACTAGCTACTATAATGTAGTGGAAATAATTGGGAATAATTATATTCCATATCAAATCTAAGTTGACTCAATCTCAATGTTACCCCAAGTTTTAATATAACACCTATATTAGGTTCTGGATATCCCATAAGCCATTTAAACTACATGCAGGTTTTGAAATATGGAAGCTGTACCTGCACAACACTTGAGGCAACTGGTTTTTAAACATCTGAGCCTTGTTTTCTTGATCCTCATGGGAAACCTAAGTTTGGAAGTATACCAGTAGGTAAAGGATAATGCATTCACCATATTCCTGTTTGATAAGCACCCAATGTAGGTACTCAGGAACTCTAAACCTAAATATTTATGATTGTAAGGGACAGAACTGTCCAGCGAAAACCATTAGAAGAAATATTAATAAAATCATACCTTGTTGTAAGGCTCATGTCGCCTGAAATCACGGCCTCGGTTGTTAGGACCAAACCGATTGAAATCTCTGGTCTGATTAGAAAAAGCAGGAGACGTATTCAAAGAAAGTAATGACGGCGGATGTTGTTGCTGAGGTTGAAGCAAGCTCGTGAGAGCGAGAGCAAGTTGCTGAGGGTTGGAAGTTAATTGGGAAAGTAGGCCCTGTCCCATGGAATTATGGGACATGCCCGAAGACATGCCCCCCTGCCAGGGGTTGACCCCGCCGCCTCCAAAGGACTGCTGGGAGCGATTGCCCCGAAGGCCGCCGCCCATACCGCCCATTCTTCGATTCGCCATGATAACTTTCAACTAGATATACCAATAAAGTAGTATTAATTCGGGTGGAGAACTAAATGGAAGATGGCGGATGACGCCGCTATACAATCAAAGGCAAACCACTGGAAGACTTTAGTTTCTTACCTAGTTAATCGATGAATGCGATAATGAATGATGCACTATACGTTCACTTTCGATTAAATCACTGAAAGGTGCTATCAAAAACTACCAAAACCCAAAACAGTATTAACAGTCCCGACTAATAAGAAAAAATGTAATCTGCGTAACTGAGTTGTCTTCACCGCTTGAGAAGTATCAAAATGGCGTAGGAAGAAGGAAGGCCGACAGGAAATCGGAAATAATCAGTGCTGCCAAATAGCTGCCAAGCTGCCATTATGATGGCATGAATTCAATTAGACATGACTTCCGGTATCAATATATTCTTCACGTGTGCCTGCAGACAGTTCCCCACACCATCATCCAATATTTTGGCTCTCAAAATTTAACGTAATTTTTAAATAATTGAACATAACTCGACCCCACTGAATCTTCTTTCTAAAAATTATATTTTCCGAAATATTACTTATGAGCAACTTTAAAGGAAAAAAGAAACTACTTTTCTTAAACAAGCTAATAACGAGACTACTTTTGCATAACAATCTAACCTAGCTCGGCCTAAATGAACCTTCTTCATACAGGTTGGCCCAATTCTACTCGCTCGGACCATTGGCAAGGTGATCGACCGTTGGGGGCGCTGTTTCAAAACAAGATGGCGGCAAAGAGTGTGTAGTTTGTTTACAAAATTTCTTGAGTTTTGCATACATTTTCTTCTTGATATTCCATCGTGTTATTTGTGTTAATTGTTGAACTTTCAACTGAAATCATAATTATATTTGTTGGATCTTACTGTTTCATCGTTATGTGAGGAAAATTACTGTTACCTACTGACTGAATCGTGGACCAAATTTCTTCAAACCAGTGCATTTCTGTGGGACAGCTTTATGGGATATCAAAAATACAAGCATATCCACTATCATCAGAAGCTGATATATTCACCATCATATTTCTATAACTCCACTCTTCAAGCAAAAGGATCCTACAGACCACAAATGGTGATACCAGGAGTGAAGTTTTTCAACAGTGAACAGCCTTCTGTGAACATATTGAAAACCATCCCTGAACAATGTGTTAACCTATTCGACTATTTTGTGTTGAATATTATAGCCATCAGAATCATGTGCAATTGATCCATACAATAGAAATCAGCAGCAACCAGCTCTAATGAGTCTAAACCAAGAAATAATTCAACACCAAAGGCATCCTGATATTACTGTGGATTTAATAGTAGATACAACAATATTACTTCCAGGCTTTGAGGAAAACATTGATCAAATGACATAGGATTTCAGTTAATGTATTTACACAGTATATTATCATAAATTTTGTGATTTGATATCATTTTGTAATCCTAAAGAAAATATCTATCATCAATCTGTTTAGTTCATTATGTTTTGTATATTTTGGAACTGAATTAATAATAATCTTTGAAAATGAAAGTTCATTGACATAACATGTGTTTTACTGTACTTATGCCACTCCAAAGAAGTCCAGAAAGAAGTACCTACAAATAGAAGGATAGTCCAGTATACTCCTTCCCTCAGTGCTCATGTATACTGTTTTCCCCTGAATTATTTTACAAGATACCTTCATAAAAATTTACAATCATAAATGAATTTGAAATCCAGGACTTTTATGTATGTAGAAATAAATTAACAATGAGCAAAAGTAAGTATCTTTCTGGTAGGTACCTATTTTAAAAGGAATCAGTAAAGATTATAAAGTGAAACTTTGAAATTGCATCAAAAAAGAATGAGGTGTTGATTGAGGTAGTTGTGGAATTGAAATATGAATTTTGAAAACCTACAATAAAACATTACAAAACAGGAAAAAAAGTAGAACATTTACTTATGAATAAATACAGTTTAATAATAACATACAAGCAGTAAAATTATGAATATATTTTTCCAAGATACAATTTGAAATGTCATGGATATGTTCAAGTACCCAAATAATCAGTGATATATCCTTAAAAACTTGAATTCAACTTCAAGGAATCTGGGTTTTGGTTTCAATTTGTGTAACTAATTGCACTCCATTGCAAGATACTCTGGATTGCAACTCCTCCCCTGCTGAAAAATTGAAGAAATATTAGTACCTACTATGAACAAACCATATCTATTAGCTGTTACACAATCTGAATATGTAAATAGAAATTGATTGTGTCACTTCAATGTATGTTCAAAGATTCAATTCAAGCTATGAAGTAATTAGCTACCTACAATGACCTGCTTGTAGCAGGGTTATTATATGGAGTATTATATAGTTATAAAATATGCTACTGTTTTTGCTCATATGAATGTAATTGGAGCTGTATTTTAACTTAATCGTTTTGGAAGTACATGCAATCTGCATTGGCGATTTTACTACAAAGATGATACTAAAAAAAATAGGAATCTATGGCAGGCAGGCCTAGGCAGGATGTCATGAACAAGATTTTTATATGAGACAAGCATTACAAATAAAACTATAAATTACCCACCTGCACATGTTCATAATGTCTTTTTTCTTGCTCAGCTTTGTGTATTGCAGTTCAAAAGTCAAAGGCATTGAATTTGCTTCATTTTTCTTATGAAAATATTCGAAATAAAAACAACCATACTTATTTTTCCAAGTCCTAGTTTCTGGAGACATTTCCCCATAAACGAAATAGGTATGAACTGTTGATTATTTCAATCATGTTCTCTCTCAGATAGGCACTGCAAATGAGAGTTATTCATCAGTAATGAATATATCAATGAATCACAAATTTACCTTATTGTTATCATCATTGGACCAATGAAGTGAAGAAAGGTAGGAAGTTTTTGTTGGAGCTGCATACATCCAGTTTTCAAACTCATATTGGATTCTCAACGTTTATGCATTTTTTCCATTCAACTGAACTGATTTTTCATCATCAGAAAAGACTTTTTGAGTGCAGGAAATTGATATTAGGTCCTACATTTTTCCATTGGAACCTTCTACTAGTTCAAACAGCAACCAAACACAGTTGATTTCGCGTATTATCAGAGATTTGTTGATACTCATTTATAAAATTATATAGAATTGATTTGGCAATTGATATAAAGTTCATGTCTTGTACTCAAGAGAAGGAAAAAGAGAAAATTAACGTAATTTGTTGAATGGTATTCATAAAATACGAAACCTACTGAACAGTGAACACAATAACAAACATGACCTTGAATTACGTCCTAAACTGGTTCAAATTTGCCCACCAGGTGCCGTATCGGAATTGTCACCTTGCCAATAGCTGCTCGGCTGATAGAGATAGAAGAAAAAAATTCATTGAAAGTTATTGGAGAGTTCATAAGCTACTCTTCAAAATTATTTTCTAGTATACAGGGTGCACCATGAATCTGGGGTGAAAGAATCGATCGCTTTTTTAAATGGCACACCCTGTATATTATTTCAATTTCGGAATCTCTCTCATGTGGGCTTCACAAACCTATTCTGTTTTTGAAGATCAGATGCGACGTTGTCAAGTTATTAACATTTTAATCAGATTTGATGAGAAACCATAAATGTTGAAAAATATTCAGGGAAACTATATTTTCGAAGATTTATGAACAAAACTGGGTAAACTTCCGCATATTGTTTTTTTTTTCTCTCTGAGGTAAATCAGGATGGAAACTTGAATGTGGGCGAATGATTCACTGATCCAAGATGTTTTCGTTTGAGATCAAGCCCTCTTCAATATATTTCAATGTATAAAGATAAAACAAAACTAATTCTTTCATTTCCTGTCAGAATGAAGCCAACAACCATTTACAGCCCTTCCCCGAGCCGAGACACCGTGGTCAGTACTGTCTGTAGATCCATGATACTACTAAAACCAAGAGATCCACTGACTCTGCTGAAAATCTGTGTCTTGAAATATAAAATCAAGAATACAGTGCTGTAATTTGAAACACTTTTTTATGGTTAATAGCAGTTGATCAACTGGTGAAATTTGAATATCATTCTCAGCATCAATTATTTTAATAACAGACATTTTGTGATATTGAATATGATATTATCAATTTATAATTGATGAGACAGGACTCTAGCTATATTTTGAATTCGTTACTGAATCTCCTGATTTTTCATTCCGAAATAAAAAAAAATCACTGAAAGTGTCAGATACTTGTGAGTAGACATTCTATTCATTTCAAATATTTCGACTCAACATTCTGCTGAAATTGCTGACTATCAAGAGAGTGTGGCTTCAGTGAAATGTCATTATTTAAGAGGTGGAAAGAATGTCAGATTTATTTCCGTTGTTTTTTAATCATTAGTTGCGTTTTATTTATCCGATTCCGCCACCGGAATCGGTTTGATGTGTCGTTTTATTTGCAACTTTTCCGATTCCGGTTGCTACTTTCCATTCACAACAAGGAATGATGTGGAGTGACTGTTGACAGGTGTCAAAAAATCAAATTAGATTGACGAAAAACGAACCTTTTTGAGAGTAAAAAACATTAAGAAGACATTTTCAGCGTGAGTTCCACTAGTTCATGATTCTTTCAAGTAAGACAAATTTCATATGTTCATTCTCAGATAAAATAAACTCTGTCGATCTCAGAGAAGTTTCTCCAATCACCACAATCACTGCTTCAAATATTAGTTGATTCATTTCCTAGATTCTTAACTCTAGTATTATGCTTTTGAAATTATTTGGATCTTCCATATACAAATATAACCTCTTATTATGTAAATTCTCTCAAGCAAGGTTATGAAGTTTCTCGTTTTATTTGTAAACGTCATTCTGTTCCCACCACCGCTACCAGAATGGAACAAATAAAACGCAACTATCAAGAATTCCGAATTACAACACTGTATTTTTTATTTTATATTTCGGATGGATTTGGATTCGCCTTTTGACCATGGGAGGAGACACATGGCGTCTCCAGGTCAAAAGTCAGGTTAATGTGTGTGCAAGTCTTTAATTTTTCTAATCACCTGATCTGGATTAAAATCCAATATTTATTGTGAAGTTTAATAAGTGTGTGTGAAAATTATAAAGCCCTTTTATCTCTACGCCGGTATAGAGGCCGGATGGTGACGGATTCACCGGATAAAGGGGCCATACTTGAAATCAAACGTGCTCAGCATGAGCACATACGATAGAATCTTTGGACATTGATGAACTCGGCTGCCGGGCATGGTGACGGACTACGGTGTCTTTAGTGCTCGAGTCGAGTGACAATATTATTACATAACCATATATTATATATATTCTTGAAAAAATTAATTACCTGATCTGGAGAAATTGTTACCGAAAGGTGACAGAAATCCAATAAACCCAAAAGAAGAAGTATATTTCGGATCGCATATCTTCAGCAGAGTCTGTGGATCTACTGACAGTACTGACTCGGAATATACTGAGGCTTCATTTCGAATTCAACTGACAGTACTGAATCTGCTGATTTTTCATTCCGAAATCATAAAAATAAAACACTCAAAGTGACAGATCCTCGTGAGCAGACAAATATTTCGACTCAACATTTAACTGAAATTGCTGACTATCAAAAGGTAGTGTGGTTTCAGCGAACTGTCATCATTTCAGAGGGGTATTTATTTCCGATGTTCCAAACATTGAGTCTCGTCTTATCAATAATAAATTAATAATATCATATTTGATGCCTGTTATTAAAATAATTAACGATAAGAATAATAGTAAAATTTCATCAGCTGATCAGCTGCTGTTGATTACTGATTTTATATTTCGGAACGCAGAGTTTCAGCAGAGCCAGTGGATTTACTAACAGTACCTACTGACCAGTTGTGTTTCTTTGGATGATACTGTATAATGTATTGTTTCTTTTTGTTCTTGTTCTTATTATTGCATCATTTTATCATTTCGTTTGTTTCGGAGGTTTTTTTATATACAGCGTGTCTCATTTCAAACGGCCCCCCTCTATATCTCAGGTATCAGTCGTGCGATCTTTACCAAATTTGTATCGGTATGAATAATCATCAATATGACCAGTTCTTCGAAGACAAACATCATTTTAGACAATGCCGTGCATTTTTATTGAAATGAATAGGGGTCAGTTTTTTATTAAATCGTATTAGGCATTTTTTCACAGGAAAACTAACCTCATAATATTGTTCTTTATGGGTTCAAAACCACACAATGTGGATTTTCATAGGATGTCTATAAAGGGTTTCAGAAAATCAGGCACATCTAAACAGCATTTTTGCGAACGTAATAATTATTTACTCGGAAACGGTGAGGTCAACATAAGAAAGTATAACTCGTTTTTCCTTCCAAATCATGATTTTCCACCTACCCGACCCATTGAACGTTCTAAAATTCGTAGTTGATTTGAAGTCACTATTTATTCGAGATGGACAATGAAAAAAAATTTATCCAATCCTGTTGATTCGGAACTGGGTGATTTTTTGCATATTGGGGTTCGAGAGCATGGGGAACAATAATATGAGGTTAGATTTCCTTTAAAAAAATGCCAAATATGATTTCATGAAAAATCAACCGCTTTTTAGTTCAATAAAAACGCACGGCAGTGTCCAAAATAATGAGCATCTCTGTAGAACTGATCATATTGATGGTTATTCATACCACACCAAATTTTGTTGGAATCGCATGACTAATAACTGAGATATAGAGGGGAGTCGTTTAAAGTGAGACACGCTGTATATTCGACGTAGTCATTTTTTATGGATGATAATGAACCTAATATTTTGTTTTTGTCAATTATTGAATGTGATATTTTTTATACTATCATTCCATGGTGTGTTTTAATAAAAGATGAGCTCCAGTGGTCAACATCCATTTTTCCGCATATAATTTTATATTCAAAATAATAACAAATAATCAAAATACGAAAGGACACTTAATTCAGATTTTATAGGTTAGGAAAACAAATCCGCAGCAGTCATCTGATCGATTTGTATAAAATGCGCATGTGCGAAACAACCAAATAAAATAAAAGATAGTCAGCTTTTATTTTCCTTCTTATTTTATTTTGCTCCTTATTTTGTTTTATTTGTGTATGAACCTGTTGGTGGAATTGTGCAGTTTCATCTTTTTATTTTACTTACTATTACTTCATATTTTATTTTACGTACTGTATAAACCCACCATATGATGTAGTTATTTCTGAGAATGAGATGAGGGAATGAACCGAGTTCTTCTAAATTCCATGTCTGGTACATTTCACGTAGTTCTAGTACAACTCTATTGTGATTTCAGTACAATTAGTTTTTTATTCTGGCAACACTGGGCAGAAGTCACAACTGTCACAACAAAAACAAAATAAACTGTGCTGTGTGTGAGGTTATTATTTGTAAACAAGTATAAGTAAATAAATAAAGTATGTCTGATTGGGATACGGTGACCGTGTTGAAGAAAAGGGCCCCCAAGGCTTCGGCAATGAAGAGCGAACAAGCTGTCAATGCCGCACGAAGACAGGGAGTCGCTGTGGACACGCAACTCAAATGTAAGATCAATGAAACTTTTGGAATCTTATTAGATCTCCTCTAATTTCGTTGATTCAGGGGGTGCCGGCAGTAACAAACAGCATGTCACCACAAAAAACACTGCGAAATTGGATCGCGAGACTGAAGAACTGAAACATGAAGCAATATCTTTAGATGTTGGAAAGCTCATTCAACAAGGTCGCCAATCAAAAGGTCTCAGTCAGAAAGATCTTGCCACTAAAATCAATGAAAAACCACAAGTCATCACTGATTATGAAGCAGGAAGAGGGATTCCCAATAATGTGATTATTGGTAAAATTGAAAGGGTCATTGGCATAAAGCTTAGAGGAAAAGATCGTGGCCTAGCAGTGGTACCCCCAGGAGCAAAAAAATAAAATAATTCCTGGGGGAAGACAAATATTAACAAATTATGCTAGAATATTTATTTCTATTAGAGTTTGTAGGGGGTAATCCTGCATATATTCTGAGTCTCTGCACAATGAGAAGGAGAATTTTGATACACAAAATTCCACACAGATTACAAGATTTTGAAGTCCTAGATGAAAATGTTATCACCTAAACACATCCTTAAGGTGTTTTTTTTTGGGGTGGGAATAACAACCAATCTACCCTATAATTTTCTGTAGTTTTATTTTTACATCATTTTTATTACCATTTTTTATTCATTATCACAAATTGCTATTATATACAGATTGCCGTGCTTTCATGAAGTACCGTCAAACGGGGTTACTTGAGACACTATTCAGACATTTTTACGCATGATTTTCACAAAAATCAAGATAAGAATTCGCTTTTTTTACAAGAGCGTCTTATTATTAGGTAGGGCCTACCGTTCTTGAGAAATCGAAATAAATAGTTATTTTTGTATCTAGAGCGCGAAATGCTACTTTGGTGATCGAGATCTGATTTTTTTAACGAGGCGTAGCCGAGTTAAAAAAATAGTCGAGATGACCAAAGTATTTCGCGCTCGAGTTGCAAACAACATTTTTTCTACAAACTTAAAAAAATATAGTTCTAAAGTAAAAATATATGCTTAGCTTGATATAAAAAATATTGTTGAACTGGCCTGAAAGGCCTTTCCCCATCCTCCCTAGGTACGCACGATGTTCCACGAACATAATAGGAATTTCATTTCGTGCGCTCCAAGAGATGAAACAGAGTTATTGTTGAACATTTAGAAATAAATGATTCCGTGGATGTTTGCTCGATTGAGAACCATAAAGTTGAAATATAAATATCTCATATATTTTACATAACAATGCGCGAAGTAGGTACTTCGCGCACTGTTTTACTTCGCGCATTGTTTTCTGCAAGGTATCATGGTAACGTAGGAAACTGAAAAAAGTGTCACTTCGCAATTTGTTATCAATGCGCAAACCTTGTCATTTTTTGACGTTTGTAGAAAAAATAATTTTTCTGTTATAATTTATTTTATAAGTGTCTCAATAATTTAGCCGAATGGGGTAACTTGAGACAGGCATACAAAAAGGCGAAAATTGCAAGTAATACTTCACCCAGGGTAAGTTGAGACAAAGTGAAGTTATCCTTATACATATTCTGAAAAATTTCTGGAAAAAAAAAAGATCAATTGGGCTGAGAAAAGGTAGTGAACAAGTTACATAACAAATTGACCTTTAATTTACCAATAAAAAAAAGAAAAATGAGGTTTTTATTTCCTTAGAGAAATAGTGAACATTAATAATGACTGAAAAACTAACAACCTAAATTGTAGGTTTGCATCAGTATAATCCACGTATTTTCTAGCCCCAAGTTGTCTTCTATATTTACAAGGCATGTTTCAATTTACCCTGAAAAAGTCGAATTTTCCATAAATACCCGTACCTTTAAGAAACTGTTTTGAGGTTATTTTTCCACATCATCTTATTAAACAGATATTGATTGAGAAAACGGGACTTTCATTTTATGAATAAATTAATTCGTTTTCTCACCGTACCTGAGACAACTTCGTTGTTTCTATAACCATGAAATATACGGTTACATACTAACTGAATTCTGAATTTTCTATCGCAATAACCAACTTACTATACCGTGTATCCTATCTATGCGAACATTGCGAACACGAATACAGCAAAATAAGTTCCGAAAATTCATCATAGATGGAACTAGGAGACCGATTTCGTTAACATTGCAGTTTGTCTCATGTTATCCTTAGTGTCTCAAGAAACCCCGTTTGACGGTACTAAATACATTCATTAACATAGCCAAACTGTTTGATTTCTGAGGAATGAGACAGGTTAATTTTCATATTCAATTTGCATAGGAGTAATGATGACGTCGACAATTTTTTCAAATCAAACACCCTATATATAATATTGAACATTTGAAATTTCCATGAGAAGCTGTATTCAAAAATATATCACATCGAATTTGTATAGTGTGTCCATTAAATTGAGTGCTCTTATCTCTTATCAATAATAGTATAAAGGGTGTTATTTTAGTCTGTTGGCGAACTTCAACAGGTGATTATTTGGGTGTTTCTGAGACGAAAAGTGCATGTAAACATAGGTTCTGAAATGCTTTGTTTTCAACATACAGGGTGTTGGAGTTGGAAGTATTGATTGTTGTTTTTCATGATTATACCCTTTATAAGCTTTCCTGATGGCAACATTTAGTCTCTGCCTCTGATATACTGATACAGTGCCGGATTCAGGAGGGCATCTGGGGCTATATACTTCCCCGGGGCCTCCACAAAAAAAGGGCCCCCACAGAAAAAAAAAACTTTCGACTTTCGACGGCGGGTAAACAATAGTGAACAACTTTTCCTTCAATATTTTGTTATGGAAAAGTCAAGTTCGTTGTGTTATCCTTAGTACTTTGTAGAAACATGATTAGGTATATTATTCTTGAATATTGAAAAATAATTTAATTATATTTTTCTACGGCTATAACACGAGATTGCTCTTATTGTTATACGACGCTATACTTAGTGGAGTATACTAACGGCCTTGCCAAAAATGCTATCTCGGAAACTAATAAGCGAGATAGAGGTATAGTTACTTTGGAGAAAATGATCCCCATCGAATTTTGAGCAACTTTGGTTTTTGTGTGTGGTCTGTCTGTACTCTGTGGTAATCATAAATCGATATATCTCCGGAACCCTTTGACATATCGACTTGAAATTTTTCCATCTTATTGTACTCAAAACAATATTATGTCATTAAAATATGAAGGAAACCGGAAAACTCTAAGGTGGTTTTTTTCGATTTTTCACCGGAAGTTTCTTGTGACCACTCTACAAATCGCAAAAGTGGTCAGATCGATTTCATTTTTTGTGAAAAAAAACTCTATCAGGGAGAGACGAAGCCAATTGAAATTGAGCAGAGTCGGGAAATTCCAAGTGGGTTTTTCAAAGAGATTTTTCGAAACACACGGTTCGCTTTAAAACGACATATCTCCTGAACCAATAGACTAAATCCAAATTTGAAAAATGCACCGTATGCCTCTTTGATGACGCAACAAATTATTATTTCACCATTTTTTCGTGCATCCATCGGAAAATGGAAAAACAAATGAAAATCAAAACATCAAAATTTGAAATCCTGTCAATTCAATATATATCGAAAACAAATGGAAAAATCGAAAATTATCGGAAGTGCAAAGTTATCCACTGGAACATTTCCTACAAATTATTACCCTAAGTTTTTTTCTGTAAACCCAATAGTACAGGAAATAAAGTAAAAAAAATTTAACAACCCATAGGGTATCATGAAGATATATTGAAAAACAAAAGATTATCGATAGATGAAGATCATCGACTTCCACTGAACCATGAAATATTTTCTCCTTTTGTTGATTGGAAGATGAAACAAAAGTGTTGAAAATTTTATTCTCAGATGATTCCAAATATCTCGAAAACAACTGGAAATATCTGAAAATGTTACGGAACCAAAATTATTTATATTGATAGAATCTACAAAAATTCCGTATAACATTTTTCTCTGAATTCAATAGTTCGGGAGATACGATGAAAAAACTATAAAATTTACAAGTTCCTAGATTATCACTTCCCAATAGAAAACGAAACAAAAAACAAAAGAAAGTGAAAAAAGCACACTCGAATGTCTTGATTTTTTTCGCCAATAAACTACGTACATAGCTCACTCGACTGTCTTGATTTCCCACAAAGAAGAAATATGTTGGGATTGTTGAACATTCTTTTGTTTTAGTTTTTTCAGTCCCTATTGGCAGTCGAGTGGGCTAGGTACGTAGTTTCTGTGGAAAAACATAGACAGTCGAGTGAGCTAAGTACGTAGTTTGTGGGAAAAATCTCCAGTTCTCTGAACTTTCATAGCGTCGTATACACATCTTTGGTGCCAAATGATAGTTTCAATATAAAAATATGCTCATGATATGGTGCCATGGCCTCTACTTCCATCTTACATGAGCAATGATAAAATATCATCTGCTTTTATAGCGTCGTATAAATTATCTGACCTTTATACTAATCTAATACCTAATGAAAACTACATCTACAGTGTGTCCACCATGGGTATCCTTTTAAAGGTGAGAGATACGAGGTCGGTTAAATGACACCAAATGTGGAGTTTGTCAAGGCCAACTATAATGTGAAGAAATATTTTGATAAAATCTATTCGTTTTTGTTTTATACGCAAAAAACATATTTTGATCATTTTCATGTCTCCTCCGTAACTTCTTTATTTATGAAAATATTCAAATAGGAATTTCACATTCTCATGGCAGTTTTTCAAAGTGATTTCGAAAAAAATATGAAATTTATACCAACTCTTGTTTTACTGTGTTCCATATCCATACATAAATAATGAAGTACTTTGTATGTCATCAATTTTATTTCCGTATCTGATATCACAATGGTTCCATATTGTGTTATCATTTAAAAAAACTCATCGCCTGCCATGGAATGTCAAATTTCTAGCAATGACAGAGCTCTGTCTAATAGATGAGCATTACTTGACAGGAAATCAGATGGCTATACAAGACGAAGAAATCGAAAATGCCGCTGTTATCTATTATAGCCGTAGAAAAATTATAGTGTATAACTTGCACGGAATGCTAATTTCCTACTCGAATGATTGCAGCATTCGCCTATGATGACTCATGCTGCTAACTTCATTTCTGTAAGAAATCACTATCATTCCGTGCTCGTTAAACAATATACTATTGTTCACCCCAATCTGATAATATCAATTTGTCAGAATGGCCCTGATAAGCAGCTATTGTCATTTAATACCCATCTTTTGATAGAGTATCACAACTATCACAGTAGCTGAGTGGAGCAGTAGGTACTTGTCCGTAGCCTCAGAGGGTGATGGGTGATCGTTTCCGCGTTTTCATTGAAGAGGACTATGAAAATACCAATTTACTGAGGTATTTTAATACGTAATTCTTGAAGATGGAAGTTCAAGAATTACATTCCCGAACATTGAAATTACACTAAGAATGTACAGGGTGATTCACCATAAATGCCCCCCC